CGGGGGGCACTGGAGGCGAAAATCATTTTTGACCCAGGCCTTAATTAACCTGAGGGGCTATCGCTCGAAACGTCAGCTTTGAAACTCTTTACGGTTGCAAATTTACATTATTAACTATGTTGACGATATCAAAATTATCTTGAATTACTTACAAGGGCAGGTTTTGTCACACTGTCGAATTCTTTTAAAGTTGTTTACGATTCCCATGCAACCTCCGTAATAGAACTTTTCGCATTTTCCGGTGCGGTGGTTGTAGTAATATCTACTGATCTTGGCTTTACACGGTCCAGTTTTCTTAGGGAAAAATCATGTACCTTGAATGGACGGGAAAAAAAAGATAGATTACTAAATAAATGCTAGCATCGCCAAAACTTCCACCTAGATTGCTTTATTTAAACCTCCGTTAATGCTCCCGTCATGCATGTAACCGCTACAAATATACAGCTCGCGTCGAAATAGGGATTTTCTTGATCACTTGCATCTTTTCTCACATTCCTGCTTTGTGAGAAAGTTATTTCCGTTTCCCTGGCAACCACCCTAGAGAACCTCTTGCACTGACCGCTGGCCTTATCAAAGTAATATCAGGTAATTTAGTGTTAACAACTGAGTTGAAGGCGTAAATTAGCCACCGTAAAGGGTAAAAAAGCTGACGTTTCGAACGTTAGCTCTTCGTCAGAGCGATGGCCGAAGGACTAACGCTCGAAACGTAAGCTTTTTTTACCCTTTACAGTGGCTAATTTACGTTTTCAACTCAGTTGTTAACACTAAATTACCTGCTATACTCTCCCACCGACGCAGCACCACAGTTTCTTTAGAAACTTACCCCTTTATTCACTTATCAAAGTAATATCGTTAGAAATACGCTTTGCAGAAGCCTGGTTCCTTAGGAAGAAGGCAATCTTCCGTTTTTCCGGTTTGACCGTACCCTTTGAAAAAGAATCATACATTTGGCATTATATCAATTCACTGCGTGTTCAAGTTATTTAACGTCAAATTTGTTATTACCGCAGATAATTAATTGAGTAGCCAATCAGAGCGCGCCCTCCGCGACGTTATTCACTCTCTTAGTATTTACCAATAACCACTGTAGTTTGGAACGTTCGAAGCCGTAGTTTCTAACGGTAGGCCCGAGAGGGCATGCTGGCCAAATGACCTTGGAAGACTAATTAATTGTTGTCTAAATAAAACAACTCAAACACTTCCATAGATATCTCACAAAAGAGCAACAACGAACTACATGCTTCCGATCAACCGAATCGATGTTCAGTTAATGAACCTATCATAGTTAGGACTGACTAGCATGAGCCATAACGATACTTTCATGGCACTTTCACGTAACCAATAATTGTCTTAAAAATCTAAGATAAACACCTCGATTGAGACATTCTACTTTGACATTGTGCTCATAATTACCACTTAGCATGCCTAATATGCATAAAACATCCGTCTCACTGAGGCCTCTGATTAAAATATCATTCGATTAAATAATTTTTAAGAAAACAGCCATTCGTTCCCACGCATCACATCACGGGCCATTGCGGCACTCATATTAAATGTAATCCGTAAGCAGACATTGAAATGTTCCATTTTTTCTGAGAAACAAAGTATTGAAAATTTCTTCGCTTTCTTACAAGCCGCGCGTGTATAACAAGTCACGATTTGATTTAAAGGATAAGCAGGACTGGGTCCATTGTCTTGCCATTGATTTGATTCTTGGAACTTGATTATTGTTAAAACATGGAATTTTAAGATCTCAAATGCATTAATTCAAAGTTTTTGGACCATGAATTATCAATCAAAACTCTGAAAAGGATAATTTCAGTATGATACTCGGATTGAATGCTGCAGGGAATCAAGGGTAGGTGGTGTGTTGTTAAAATGAAGGTGGATGTTTAATCATTATTGTCTCTGGCCAATAGACTTTGGCTTTTAATGAAAGCGACGTGGGAGTTTAAGAAGAGGTGTTTTTATAACCCCCTGTCGTACTAAACCAAAGCTATCGTACTAAATCCATTGCTACTACGATGCAATTGGTGTTACCCTTGATAACAAACAGCGGTATGCATGCCGTTAAAAATATCAAATTCAGAGCAATATTGTGTTTAGACATGTGTGGGCTTTACTTCGTTTCAAACATGGCAGTGGGTGTCGGTTTCAGTGAAATTAACATGAGGGTTGAATTAGGTGTTACCAGTTAACACTCCACCTTCTCTTTTACTGAAACGCGACTCGAGGTGCCAGTGCGCTCGAGTAAATCGTAGTTTAGAACCAGCGATTATGAAAATATGAACTCTGGATCAGCAAGCGTTGATCACGCATGATAGAGGCACCAGGCATGGAAATTACTGCTGTTATGTCATCCTTTCCTCAACATAGCAATCACTACGCGCAGTAAAAACCTTTAACAACCAAAAGTAATTAAGGAGGACACTTGAAACAAAAGGAAGGGAAAAGGCCAATTCTGCCCTCAGCTGTAGAATGCGAATGATCACCAAATGGTAACAAAGCGTAATTATCGTCTCAGTTGGCGAAGTTCAAGGTAATAAGCAACGAAAACGGAGACAGGCGGAATGCTGTAAACATTCCGCACTGGTCTACTGAAATTGATTTCAAGTTTGCGGCGCAAAGCACGATATAAAATACCAATTGAACTTCGAATGTCTAAAGAGCAATAATCTTAGTTTAAGGTGCTGGAATAGCTACCCAATGATCTCTCTCTGACCTGCGTTTGGGCAAGGATTTCAGCTAAAAAAGGAGCAAGGCCTCGATGTAGTAACCCATGGCCGCGTGTGGTAAAAGGAAAGAATTAAAAGAATTAATGTTTTACATCCTTTCAATTCAGTTAATTGCACTCAGACACTTTTTATCCTGTGGATTCACCTTCATTGCATCAGAACATCGACGCTTTACAAAGAGAGCACATTCAAGTTACTTCATAAGATCAGACTGTCTAAACAAAGGTAAAATTTGTTCAGGTTATATGCTTCAGCGTTCGTTTAGAACATGACGAGCTCGAGAAGTTGTAGTTTTGCTCCATTTAGCTTATTTCATTTCATTTCATTTCTACAGAAAAGACCAGACGAAATGAAGTCAGCCATACTTTCAGTTGCTTTGCTGCTCCTCTTGAATTTGGGTATAAGAACAGTTGATAATAATTTTTCTAACTTAACTTTCTGTGAACATATTTATCCGTGATGCTTGGGTGCCATTAGGTAAATGATAACTTGATCTTTGCTGTTTTTGGACTAAGACTGTTAGGATATGATGATGATGCATTTCTATAGCGCATTCTCCAGATTCATATGCTCTAATACGCTTCGCAACACTTTGCGGAGGAAAGTTTCGCCAGACTGCGTTGAGCTGTTTACAATTCTCGGAAGGAAATTTGCCGGCGCCGGCGCCTCAATGTTTTGAATGTTGTTTTCGAAAACAAGGTCACACCATAACACCCGCGTTCCCTACTCTTAGTAAGAATTGCGTGGGTCATTTAACTTGCCCTGCTTACCAGTACAGACAAGATGTTGGAGACGGAGCGTACGGATTTATACAAACTAAAAAAAATTCACTGAGTAGTACCAATTTGCAAGGTTAGCATATTGCATCGATTTCTTGATCGAATACGGTGCTAAATGCTAAGATTCGCTTAGAATTCCAGATTGAAAAACGGGCTGCTTAACTAGTTTATAATGTGATGTATTTACTCTGCCGTAAACGGGCCAGAATCAGAAATTCGGGGTGGTTTTTCCTCTACAGGAAAGTGCACAATAGGCGCTACGTGGCAGTTTTTAATTGGCGTGAGCGGACGAAAAAAACATACTTTTCTGAAAAAAAAAAACCTGTGAACGTCACTGCCACATATCTTTAATTTCAGTCAGTCGAAAAACTTTCGGTCCATAAAATCCCTTCTGTGGTATATCGTTCCGAGGCAGAAAACTTCAGAGGTTTGTTACCAGATGTAAGCGGGAGAAAGCCTTGTAAACAAACATTATCGTCTTCAAATGCAAATATTTATTGGCCGACTGTGAGGCGAAACTTACGTAAGAATGGAAAAAAGGGGAATTTGGCTCGTGCAGGCAGAGAAAGATTTGAATCACAGCGTTAAAATTTGATGAATTTTGCAACCAGAAATTTGATAACCGTAGGATTCTATTTAATACTGGCTTTGTAAAACGCCCGAGGTACGCGTTTATTATTCTGCGGAGTTGGATCGTTACCATCATTCTGGATTTCTCCCTGACTCAAGCCACGTCACAAAGTGACTTCTTCCTTATCTGCTGACTTTGCCGCGGTAGTTACGTTAGTCCCCGCATTTCACCAAGCGATTTTAGTATTTCCAATTTGTCATGGCATCAACTTGTTCCAAAGTCTTAATCTCCATAACTCTCCATGTTAAGTAAACAATGAAAAGCACTCAACAGCGACTTTGCTGACAACCGCAGGGCCTTCAATTTGTTCCCTCTGAAACGCAAATCCGGCCAGAATATAGGCTCCGAGTAGCTTCTTGTTTCAGCCCAGTTTTTTCCGTGCGGAAATGGAAAGCCCCCCACTAATATTTATATCCTCGAAAACAAAATTATTTCTCCTTATCATGGGCTTAACTTGCACTAATTATGAGTAACACCACATAGGGAAATTGTTAATTTAACATTTTCTGCGAAAAGCTATACTTTAATTTTGAAATGTTGGCGATTTTCAGAAACGTACTGTGAGCTCAAATTGAATTGAAATGGTCCAATTTTTGATAACTTGTATCCCTCTGATACAAATTCATTAAACTGTTTTGAGCTTGCTTCCTTTTGCGCTTTTCATAGGCAAAGTTCATTTACCTCTACTCGGAGCACTTATTTCCGGCATTATAAACAGCTCGTTTCAGTTTTTGTGAATTTTCTAGATATCAGAAGCAAATCTGACCATTTTTCGGTCGATGTACCACCTCTCTTGCGGTATTGAGAAAAGTCGGTCTTCACACGTGGAGAAAAGAGAAAGCTTCCTCAAAGCACCTCAAAGGAACTCGGACTGATAAACAGTTTGGTCTTTTAAGAAAAATTTTCGACTCATTTGTCTCCGCTTGCTCATAAAAGTCATAAAAGCTACTACCTTTACTTGATTTATTCCCACAAATTTCGCAAGCATTGTGCACCATTTTGAACAAAACATTGCAAAAAGTACACCGATTACGATGTCCACGCGCCCGAGCACTGGTAGGTCAAGACAAATTGCAATCACATAACGCACAGTATTTACTTTGTTTCAGCTTGCGGATTTATTTCATTCATGTCAGACACTGAGGACAGTCATTACCAACAGGATTTTCCCCCTGATTATCTTTACATTCATTTGTGAATCATAAACAATTCGTAATTGTAAGGCTAGTTGTTAGCAGTAGAGAGTTAAACTAAGGATAAAAGCATCCAGGTCCCCAAATGCATCAATGATTATTTAAATAACTTGGTTGATAATGTAAATTGGCCATGGCTATCCGACTGTAGCTAGTTTGGAAAACTGAGGTTTCGAGCGTTAGCCCTTCGTCGGAGCGAAGGGCTGACGCCAATTTCCGTTATCGATCCAGTTGATAAACCAAATTATCTAACGTAGTTTTTTTAATGTCGGCACTCCTAAGAGATTGATTCAGTTTTTGTTTTTTGTTTATTCATTTTATGATGTTGTTGCTCTTTGTTTGTTTGTTTTAACCAAATTAGCTTTTGTCTTTGTTTCTTAAAGATTTGATGACCTCTCAAGGTGTGAGCGATTGTCTCCTTCCAAAAGTGACAGGACTTTGCAGAGCACGTTTCCCGCGATTTTATTTCAATGAGGCCAAAGGTCGCTGCGAAGGATTCACCTTTGGTGGTTGCGGTGGAAATGGAAATAATTTCAAAACATTGAAAGAATGCAAACAAACGTGTAAGTGTCCTGAGTTGAAAACAACTTTGAAAACTTATTTCAAAGTCTCTGAAACTTATTGACAAATAACAAAATCTTACATATAAGTCGTATCGCTAAGCGGTTCATTGATTATTCAGTTTGGAGATTTTGGGCTCAAATTATTCATAGAGAAAAGGGGGGAATGTAAAAGAAACTGAACATGCAACTTGTCCTTGCGTTGTCAATTGAATATAATCGTATAATCATGTAATTCTTAACGAGTTATTTTCTCTGCACATCATGATTCCATTCGTAGATGTGATCAGGTCCCTGTACGCTACCATGATCAGATATATCATAAGTGCCCTAGCTTGTGAAAAAACTTAGAATATTAAAGAGCTATATTCAATCCCAAGCTGGGAAGAACAATATATCTGCCTGAGTCTGTCCGTGTCCTCAAAATTATAGCTAAGTTGACTAAGCATCTGACTAGAAAAAAGTAACTGGGGCTCGAATCCTGACAATGGGACTCGGAACGGGATGGGACGGGAGGCTGGTGAAACATTGATCAACATCTGTCTTCATTTCTGGCTCTATGCAGAGAATAGAGAGAAAACTCTCTGCTGTTTTTTTTTTTTCCAAGGTATATGTCCCCTTCCACCTCAGACAGGACACTGCAGAGGATACTTTCCGAGATACCACTTTGATGAGGCCAGCGGTCAGTGTGAGAAGTTCATCTACGGTGGTTGCGGAGGAAATGAAAATAATTTTAAAACTTTGAAAGAATGCCAACAAACTTGTAAGTTTCTTGGATTCAAAAAAATATAGGTCTAGATGTATTTGTATATCTAAGCCATCTTGACGTAGATATTGAAGGGACGCAAAATTGCTTTGTGAGTGATGCAAGATAGATATACTTATCAGTTAAACAAGCTGGCGAGTTATATCAGTTGTTACAACTTGAATCGAAATGTGTGAAGGCCCTTGTGTGCTGACAGGATGAAGGTATTAAACTAGAGAGAGGAAATTTGAAAAAAAAGGTTATAGATCTTGAGCTTTGCTTTTCCTAGCGGGTAACGTGGGAAAATCACCAGTGACACGGAGTGCTCTAATAACCCCTTGTATAATCATACAATTCTTAACGAGTTATTTTCCCTTCACATCATGATTCCATTCGTAGATGTTATCAGGTCCCTCTACGTTACCATTATCAGATATATTATAAGTGCCCGAGATTGTCTGAAAACTTGTAATATTTTAGAGTCTGACGCCTTTATAAAGAGCTATATTCAATCCCAAGCTGGGAAGAGCAATATATCGGCCTAAGTCTGTCTGTGTCCTCAAAATTACAGCTCAGTTGACTAAGCATTTGACTAGAAAAAAGTAACTGGGTCTCGAATCCTGACAATGGGACTCGGAACGGGATGGGACGGGAGGCTGGTGAAAC